GAAATGTCAGGAGCAACTGACAACTGACTTACGATCTAAATTAATACAAAGATTAAAAACTGATTTCCTTCCAAGAGAAAAGTACCTAAAGAAGAACTTACCAAAAAAAACCAAACTCAAAGCTTTATTAAAACATGACAAAAATAACCATAATAAACAAACACAATGCACAAAGAAAGAACGACGTTATTTACAAAATTTGGATTTTGCCACGTTTTCCCATGGCATTAATTTTCCATGAAAGTTGACTTTTATGACAAACGCTTCGGTCTTTCAGTACAGACCAAAAAAGCGCATACCTGTGAATACCCGAACTCTTGCGAATTTTCCTTTAAGTGATCTAGTAAAAAGATTACATCAAACAGAGCTGTGATCTTACTCTAAAATTTAACGCGGTTAATGAAGGACTCAGGTTAAAATTTGTAGTTTAAAACTCAAAATAAAATTATCCGTCCGCTTTAGGAGGAGTGTACCATCCAGACTTAGCATGAATTTGAACTAAAGAGTTGAATGCTTGCTGTGCTTTAATCATACTGTATTGTCCTTTGACGTCGAATTGTATTCGAGCCTAAAAAAAAAAAACAGAGAACTGATACCAAACAAATAAATTTTCTTCTCCACAAGTAAAAGAATATTTTTAACTAACGACAACACACCAAAGGTAAATTATTTAGAAAATACCATGAAGAAAAAGAAAAAACCAACCTTCCCTTTAACTAAAGTTGCTGCGATCTGCGTAATGAGAGCTTCAATACTATATGCGCTAGTCCAACCTTGTTTGGTCAGCAGTTCCATACATATTGCACCTCCACTCAAAACAAAGCCATTTGTAATGGTAGGAGAAACGAGATGCACAAATGGCGGCTCAAACCTTAAAAAACTAATTACTGAGCCGAAAGTACAAGCATAGTTCCATTTAAATTCCTTTAAAAATTAAAATTCCTACGGAAAAGTATCCTTGAAAACGAAATGAAATAGAAGGTAGTCCTGATTTTCCTGCCTCTTCAATTGCACCATGTCTGCAGCCAAACTACTATCTGCATCCACTCTTCAAAAAATAACTACAGAATTAGATTACAAATCAAAGTTTGATAAAACAGCAAAAAAACTTAGATGTAAATTGAATATTATATATCAGAAGCCACAAAAAAATTGTACTTTTGAATAAAGTGGCTTCTGCACAATCATCAAGCTCACTTTGTCGTAAAGACGTTTGATGAAACTAAAAGACATAATTAATCGACTCCTTTTGCATCTATCTTACGCCTATCCAAAACAGTGGCAATAAAACACCCAATTTTGCTCTCAACTATATTCCCCCCTTCCTTCACTAAGAAGTTGACTCTAACAACAAAACATTCTAGTTTCTAATTTAGAAATATAAAATGAAAAAACTATATAAACTACGACTTTTATAAAGTGTACGTTTTAATTATTAATCAGAAGCATATTAAGAAAGAACAAAAAAGCAGACAAGGTTACTTTTTCAATTTAACATTCCATTCATATAAACTGTCCTTGACAAGCTCAACCGAGTAGTCACCTGCAAAAGGACATCCAAAAATGTTAAGAGTTACCAGCCATACACTAACAATTTAAAATTAATTATGTAAAGGAAGGATAAATACTCCTCTAAAACTAAGAGCTGTTGTAAAAAAATA